GGTGGATGGAATGTAAACTTCAGCCTCTTCCTTCTATTTTTGAGATTTCAACATTCTTCCTTCTTTCTACACCTTCTGTATCACTCCAGTTCCCATACCTTTGAATTGCTTTTGTCTCCTCGGGATTTCCACCTGCACTAGGCTGGGTTTTTCCACCAAAAAAAAAAAAGATTAAATTCAGTCCTATCCCACTGTTGCCCACATTTTCAAGTAAAGAGAAGTAAACAATACATTACATGTGTGATAGTAAGACAGAAAGTATAATGGTGTGACAGGATAAATCCTTTCAAAAGAACTTAGAAGAACAATGACAACAAATGAATTAGACTCAAATAACAAGCAAAAAGAGAAGATGCAAAGTATGGAAAGAGACTAGGCTAGGGAAGAACATTGCCCCTTATATCTGCCCTTCAAGGATACAATTTCATGTTTATTTACATTAAATCTAAAAAGCTCAAGTGCCCTTTGTCACATTAGCCTTCTTGCTGGCATAGGACAGCAAAAGTAGTCAAGTAAAGACCAATAAGGTAAGAGAAGAGCAAGTCTAAGCAACCTTTTTATTGTTCCTCTCCCAACACATGATAAATAAATCCATCTAAGATAACTATAGATGCCTGCAGCTGAACCAAGCATCAGAGAGAAAAATACACTTTTAGAGATCATCTTACTTATTTTGTACCTTATACTTTAGGAAGAGAAAACTTAATTGACTAGATTTTCACCAACTTTAAAGGGAACCCATCTCTGGCATAAAAATCCCTTTGGTTAAGTTTCCTAAACACAAGCATCTAATATCTATCTGACCACCAGCTGCCTCCTCTGAAGGATGCATGCTTCTTGTAAGTCCTGTTCATCAGCACTGTAACAGTGTCTCATATATCCCAAGACATCTTAAACAGCACTGTATTTAGGTGACTGAATCAAATACTGCTTGTTCACTAACATTTCCCCACTCACATTAGAATGCTGCCTCTTAGCTTTGATATAGTCAGCAGAATATTGCTGGCTAATGAGGCTCAAAGTGTCTGGGAAAAGAGTTTTAACCAGTGAATAGTTTTTTGAGTGCACTTAAGATGACAGACCACAATGTGTTGCATCTGCAAGAGAAACTTGAAGCTTAAATACTGAAACTAATGAAAGTGAAACCTTTTACCAAAATGAATGAAAAGTACTGTATATAACATTTTTCTAGAAAAAAATCTGATTTTCAGCACAATGTTGTCAAAAGTTAAATATTTCATCTGAGTAAAAGCTTAACAACTCTGTGGTATTTTTAATGTTAAAGCCTAGAAAAAAAAATGTGATAATGTGATAATAATAGTGTGATAATAAAAATGTGATAATAAAAAATATGTGGATAACAGGTGATCATTCTGGAATATTATACTAACTGTCCTCCTCTGGAATCCAGGTGTTGCCAGCATAATTAACGGAAGATCTATGCGTGCAGAATTTGGACAGTTTAGGAGATACTTAACTTCTTGGCAGCCAACTGAGCAACTATTTTGCACAGTAAGTAATACCTAAAGTCAACATACTGTAAAAATAATTAAGGTTAGACTGAATTAGCAAAGTAAGCAATTATGGTCTAGAAAAAAAAAAAAACCTAAATTGTTTATTACTATTTTGAAGATGTGTAATTTAATAGTAAAATTAGACTGGATTATAGAAATGGGGGTTGGACCAGACCGCCTCCAGAGGTCTGTTCCAACCTCAACCATACTCTGACTCAGAGCCAACCTTCTATCTGAAATAAGTTGAAAAGATCATTTCCTCACAAGGAAACTTTTCAGGTTTACATTGTCACACAAGACATAGCAGCATCATGTTCTTAATTTGTAGTTGATGAAGATAATTGGTGAAGAGACTAAGCAGGGGTCTCCACACCCTCTGTTGACTGCAAAAGAGACTGATGTTTCTGCTGGAATGCAAGTGGGATGTCTGCTTTGGGAACATAGCCGTGGTGGGGCTCAAAACAGAAATCTTCAAATTGCAAATTCATATAATTGACACCAGAAATTCACAACAGGTCCTGTTCCTTCTGCCACACAGCAGTAAATATCGCAGCTTGATTTTATCCTTTTTCAACATCATCCTATATTTTTTGCCAGAAACAGAATCTGTTTTCCCCCATGTTAATAAAAGCTTCATAAACAAGCTCTAGTGGTCTGTGTTCCACAATCGCCAAGAAAAACTAGTTACCTAAAAGTATGTCATAGCCTGTCTAATAATTACTGATGTCAATGTCACAATAAGAGTGCTTGTACACAGAAAAAAAAAAGGAAAAAAAAAAAAAGAAAAAGGATGCATCAATTCCTTTCTTGCATTAACCGTACTGAAATAACAGAATTGTTCTGGGAAATCAATCTATAACACTAAAACCAAACATGCAGATCACAATTTTAGATATCTCTTTATGCTTGAAGTGTAGAATAGATTAATGAGTTTATAGCAAGTCATGTACTGTATATTTATTTTCCATAAGTGAAGCACTTATAAATGGACATCTAGTTCAAAAGATTTGAATGTAGTCATGTTAGTGTTCATTGTGTTTTTAATACAGATCTTTGTTATCTCAAGCATTCTCATTGGAAATATTATGTATATGATACACACATGGTTTTACCAAAGGTGAGGATTTAAGAATGTGAAACTATGAAGAATTACTACCAGGTTAGCAAGACCGTAAGTCCATTGACTGTTCTGTGATAATTGCCTGGATACCTATTCATATTCCAGTATACAGCAAAGTATACAGCAAACCTTCTTCACTGAGGAGTAAGATACCTTGTTCTCATCACTATGCATGCAAGCACTCAACTGAAATAGCCAATGTGAAGTAGACTCACACCTTCATTTAGCTCCTTGTTCATGAAATACAGTACAGTACAACACAACTTTCTTGTGCAGGTGACCAGACTCAATTATGTGTTTGTGCCTGTCTGTTTACCTGCAGTCTGTTAGCCTGTGGTTGTAGTGAGTACTACGTATTTATGTTTATGAAGGAGTGTGCATTTTATATTCCTACACATTTTAGAGATGTTTTAGTTAAGGTTATGGTACCAACACTTACATTTCAATCTCCTTTTTTTAAGAACTTATAAATTGATAGAAAGTTTTGCCAGGCTGAAGCTTAGTTGTGTCATCAGCCTAGGAAAGATGTTTTTTAACAAATCCATAAATGGAAATGCAGTGAATTCACTCATCTTTTTAACAATCTGAAAGTACAGAATAGATATTTCACTGGGTTTAGATTTTTATGGATGATGTTCTCATATAATTCCGAAGTGTTTCTTTCTGAAAAACATTAATTTTAGGACAAACATTTTAAGTGCTTACCAGTGACTTCCAATATCTTATGCTAATGAAAATTCTGTCAATTGGGAAAATTTGTGGATGAAGTCCTACTAAAAATACAAGATGAGCTTTGAGACACAAAATTTAGTCTAGGGAACTGTCAGGGATACAAAGCCCAAAGCTTAAGTACTATTCCTTGTATCATCTCTTGTGATGCTATAGGTAAGTCAGAAAGGCCTTCAAAAGATACTTGAACACCTTGAGTGAGATCTGTGAGTGACTGTGCACCTATGTCTTTGTGAATCTGCCCAGGAGTGCTTACGGTTTTTTTGCACACCTCCACCTAGGTAAGTCTCAAACAAGTATTGTGTCCTCCTACTTAAACACAGAGTATATCATGCAGCAGTTTCTGATGTAATTTGGGCTAATGCACTATTACATTATAAAACAAAAACAGGCAGACTGATGAGTGCCTGATCTGAAATGGTTGTACCCATGCTCCGAGCTGCTGGACCACAAACCAGCTCTGGCCCAGGCACCAAACCTAGTAACACGGAACCTTCTCCAGGGAGCTGGGTACATGACACATAGGCCCGAGGCCTCTCGTTCAAAGCTAATCACATTCACCCAACGCAGAGCATGACCAAAGCAGGCCCACACAGAATATGAGTATATTCCTAAGGCTGGCAGAGACCCTGCTACCTAATGAACTAGAAAAGCACCAGAACACCAGCAGTAGAAGGACTCTACCACAGGGACCCATACAAGATTTTTGTTTTGTATGATGCTTTTTTTTTTTTTTAATTATGTGGTAAAGGCAATGGGAAACTAGAGATATGAAAAACAATAGCTTCAGAATAAAAGTATTCAATGTACGAAAACAAGCAAGCAAGCAGAAAAACAATAGCAGAGAGTGAGGCAAGGCAGTAAACCAAAGGACTGGAGAACAGAAACAGAAGATTCTGATCTTCTTACACAGTAATAACTTACTATATACTAACAGAGAACTGAAAAAGGAAAAAAAAAAAATAAACAAACTACTAGTGTCCGAGAGAGCTCCTGCCTTCCTCTCCCAACCATATACATTCAATTCTGATTGTACATGGCCATAATATGGTTTCATGCTAGTAAAAGACTTGGTCTGTTGAGGTCTGTAAAGAAATTGTGCATGATTAATACGTAAGAAGGAGGTTGCCTAGAGATCACATAGTTTATGCCTCATCTTACGAAAGCATACGAGACCAGAGCTGTTAAGACAGTTGTGCTTGTGAATACAAGTACCCCGGAAGTTAAATTCTGACCTTATTACATAAAATTACAGACCTTATTACATAAAATGGCATCATTCCTGTCACTCTCAATGGATCTAGGTGTCATCCAGAATTTGTGTATGGACCTAGAAGTGATTCAAATCCCCACATAATTTTATGTGCAGAAAAGACTTCACTGCACAACTGTATTGCCAGCCATTCCCAGTGCATAACTTATGCAAAACTCCACAGCTCCTAGTAGGATTGTTCTTTAAAAAATACTTGTATTTTAAGACTTCATTATTCATTCAGTGGTGTGTCCTGTCGATGTGTCTAAAGAACACAGAAATCTAAACACAGGAAAGTCTTCATGCACCTTCTGTGCACATGTGTGCCTAAGGATGGAAGAGAAGGTAAATGTAGAACCAAAGTACTACTTGGTCTTTACCATACCTGAGGGTAGCTGTCAGTCCTTGGAAGAACAGATATATCATAGGTGGCAGCAAAATGGCTCTTAGCTTGCTGGATCTGACCGTAGCGTTCTCTTTTCCTCCATTTTGCTCTTCGATTCTGGAACCAAACCTGTAGCAAATGAGGAAACAGTCATCAAGGTAAACTCAGTGGCATACTGTGCAAAGAGTCTTAGGAAAAAGCCAAGAGATTTTGGTCAGTAGCTTTGAAAATTTCTCTTTGTCTAAGAAAGGTAAGTTCTCCACCTGAAGATGAATTTCTTGCAGTTTCAATATTCTCAATGTCAGACCTGCTTAAGTTATTTCTGGTTATTTTAAAATTATATGCTATTTCCTTTCTAGTGCATCAAAAAAAAAAAAAAAGAAAAAAAAAAAAAAAAAAGCAGAGGAAAGATCAGTCTGCCAGGCAGTGCTAATTTTGACAGAGTTCAGTTCTGTAGAGGAAAATCACCAAGCAGCAGCAAGTCAAATTGTAAAGAAACTTTCTCTTAATTTCATATGCCCACTGACTTGATATGACTACCTATGATCTGCCTCCTAGAGGTATACATAATCTTTATCAAGTGCAGTAGTGAAGAGGCAGGAAAAGCTGGCGCCAGTCTGTGCTGCAGAAAAAGCTTCTATAAGGAAAGCTAATAGGGCAGGAAGATAATAAAAAATCATAAGATCACAGACAGTTTTAAAACTATTGTGACATTTTTTCACATTTATGTTAGGAAATATGTATGTTTCTGACAAAGTAAAACTAAAGAATGGCACTTTATATTTAGACTATGAAATAATTTAGACCTGAAACAATGCCTTGTTGTCAACAAAAAGCTATTTTCTTTATGCTTAAATAACCTTTGGACTGTTCTGTAATATTCTGAGTGTCGGGTGTTATCTCAAGACCTATTATATGTACATTTCTTGCTGTGACTGATACCTGCCATTTTCCTGTCGTCTTCAAAAGAGTTTTTTCTTTCAAACAGTTTAGTTTGGACTGGTTAAGACTTATCCTGATGAATTAAAAGGATTGCTAAGAAAAGTAACTGTTCCTTTACAAAAGTACTATTATCCAACTAAGTCTTTATTGTTCAGCTATGAGCAAACTCATTCCAGCTCCTTTTAAAGATGTCACACTACTAGCAGGACCATTATTTTTTTTATGGAAACAATGCCATTGGTTAGTATTCATGCTAAGTGGATCATGAATCCATTTGGATATATACATACATGAATGGATTTTTTTAATATAGACACTGCCTGTGAATCCCATTTTGAGGGATATTTTCTGATCCCTCATGGTGGGATATTTAAAATAACACTGTTTGTTTTATAATTCAGTTTTTGCCTTGATCTTTAGAGAACTCAACTGTCCTTTGATGCTGCTTAAGCAACCAGGGCATAATTTTGCTCATTTTAATTCCCAAGGACTTGTTGCAAATTTAGTATGTGCAATCTTTTAAAATGTACTCTGCAATCAAAGCAAAGCCCATGCATGTAACTGCTGAGTATATATTGTTAGGGACCTTGTTGGTAAAATTGTATTATTTATGATGCCTGAGGCTCAGCAAAAAGGAAAAAAATTCTCCTGTCTCCACAGGAGGCATCAAGAACACGCTAAGGGAATTTAGTAATGAGGCTCTTTCATTGAAAAAAGACCTTGACAATCTCCTTAAAATGGGTGCCAATTACTTCACTGACATGCAGCAGGAAAGAGAACAACTCAGATAAATTAGGTTCAGGTTGGCGCTCTCTGCATGTATGCAGGACAAATATTAAATTGGATCTTGATGAAATGGCGGTGAAGGGAAATGTGGGTAAGGTATCCAGCTGATCACTCTGCTAAACTAAATCAAACAATTTGCTTGAATTTATAGTAACTAAATGAGAAAAAAAGCACACATTTTTTTCCTTTGACAATCCCCCAAAATGTTTCTGTTTACATCACTTTACTAGAAACTGACTCTTGGCAAAGATAAAGTAACCATTTGCCTCCACAAAGCAATGTAAAAATCTGCTGCTTGTTATCCTTGCATTGCCAGATGCTTGCCTCTAATGATGTAAGGCCTTTTAAATTGCTTAATCTTGTGATGGAATACTGTTGCTACTCTGGATAAAAATGATCACCATTTCCTTTCATATTTAGCATATGAGAAATGCAAAGATCGGTTATCTTTTAAGAAAGGGGAGACATGTTTAAATAAAATAGAAATAGATATTCTGTGAAAGTCTGGTGAAGACATATATGTTTTCACATTTACTCTCTTATTTTCAATACTTTTACCATATGAAGCTTCTAAAACTTAGAAAAAAATGTGTAAAAAGTCAGTTGACACATTTTAGCCCAATTCTCCCCTCCCTATTCTGAATATTACATTGGATATTCTTGGCATAGTTCTTATTATTCCAGAATTATGCAGTTCTAGAAACAGTGTTTTAACATTAACATTGACCAACTGGGTTAGCTCAGTTGGTTAGAGCATGGTGCTAATTATGCAAGCTTGTTTTTTAAGTCAAGACTAAATCCCAACGAATGGAAGTCATACTTGGAAAACTGTACCAAATTCAGAGAGAGGGTGATTGCACAGAGACCGAAGAGTTAAAAGCCACTGAACTAAATTCCATGGGCATCACTGATATCGTATTGATATAACTGACACACAGCTTTGGATTCTATTTTCCAATGACAACAGTGAAAATGCTGTCTGGTTGAACAGACATGAAAAGAACACTTCTTTAAAAAGTTAATTAGCTGAGTTCATTTCTGAAAGTGATCCTGGTTTAATTTCTGTTGTATGCATGTGCACTGATGTCTATTTCTTTATATGCATGTGTGAGTATGTGTTTAATTACAAGTTGTGAAGTTGTTATCATATTCAAGTCACTAAATTAAAAAAAATTAATCCCAGTCTGTAAGAATCAACAGGACTGCTATTCCTAAATTGAAATTATGAGTATTGCCAGGATGGGGAAGATCTCTAAAAATAGGATAAACTCACAAAATGCAGCTTACACCCTTTTCTAAGGGAAGATGTCTGAACAGAGGGGAAGGGTTGCATTTCCTGGATATTTAGCTTCTTTTCTCACCATTGCACATCCAAAGCCATAAATATTGTTGCGATTACTGTACGAGCACATACTGAATGAATCAACTTTGTACGCAGTTAAGATACTCAAATACTACACTAAGTGGTCAACAGTATGATTCGTTCCAAAAATTAGAATAACATTATCCATCAGTTATGCAAGTTTAAAAACCAGCAAATGTACTTCCCAATTTTGTGATTTTTAAGCTCATTCCATACAACAGAGATGAAAGGATTACATCCTTGCTCTACACAGATACAAACACACACACACATATATATATTTATACACACCTATGTATGTGCAGTTTCACTGCATACTCTTTGGATCTAAACAAGGAATCTTATTAATTTTTAAACCGTACTTTTCATGCTGTAACACACGCAGAATCCTCTGTGGCTGAGTTCTGCATTGTCATCAGTCTGAACTACATGCAACACATCTTTTTAATGGGATATTTACATGTAACACTTTATGTATCCACTGCCTGAAATTCTGACGGTAAAACAGAACTACCAGAGATGAAGACTGCTTTACTATTGATGTTGTTTTCACATCCTTTAAACAAGTTACTAGAATGGTAACACAAGCTATTTTTAAAAATAACAAGTTATTTTAGTACTGCAGCATAACAGCTCATATCCATAAAGAAATAAAGCAAAAGAAGCTATGTACTTTAGCTTTATGGGCTTTTGTACAATCCCCGGGAGTGTCATGTACCAGTTCCTACAATGCACAACTTGTCATGGAAATGCTGAAGTTTGGTTCCTACCTGGACTCTGGCCTCAGTGAGCTCTGTTCTCAGAGCTAGCTGTTCTCTTACATAGACATCAGGGTAGTGAGTTTTCTGGAATACTTTCTCCAGTTCCTCCAGCTGCAAACTGGTGAAAGTTGTTCTGTGTCTCCTCTTCTTACTGCTGGAGACATTGCTGTCACACTTATCACCAAGTTCATCCAGTTCCCCCTTCTCCTGCATCCCTTTCACCGGAGACATCCTGAGATTGTTGCAATTGTCCATGGGCCTGCTCAGCTCTGTGTGAAGAGGCTGTCCTTCCACTTTAGTAATCCCGTAGTTCACTGTACACAAGGTGGGGGAGGGAAATAACTGGTTAAAGGGGGGGGCTTTAGGTTCAAGGGTTTGTACAAAACAGTTTCAGAAGAAACCAAATTCTATCCGGCTGCATATTTCTACACGAGATCGTGGAAGAGGAATATGTAATATTAACCACAAACAGAGTAAAAGTACTAAATCTCACTGAATTTTAACTGAGAATCGTATCTGAAAATATCATCTAAAATCTCACAGTGTAAGGAGACTGCATGAGAATACTCAAATATTTTTACTCGGCCACTAAAGTAGTTAACAATCCATGAAATCAGCTTCAACTAGAGTTGCACAGATAAGCAATCTTAGCCCAAAACAGATTTTTGTATAAGTGGCATAAAGCTCTTGACAAATGTGCCTTTAAACTTGGAGGCAGTTTTTAAAAACTCCATGAAAATACAAAAAAAAAACCAACCCTGTAACATAAACTAAATAGCTGTAAACTGACAAATCAAGAAGCAAATGAAACTGAAAATGAACTTCGCTTTACAAACTCAAAAGATTCCATATACTTCTGCTGGATTTGTAAAACGGAATTGTTTCCAATTAAGTTTGTTATGGTTACAAAATACACAGAGTTTCTGCAAAACGTTAACTTATTAAAAGAGATCGTTTCATATACTTTATATAAGGATTGCAGGAACTATTTTTCTTTAGGTAAAATCTGAGTGGTAGAGATAAGAAAAATTCCTCTGTAGCTTCTTAATAAGAAATGAAAACATTTCCTATTCTTTCTATTTTTACACATCTCACATCACTAAAAAAGTCATGCGATGTGTCACAGGATTCGAAAGAGCATTTTTTTTCTCTCAGAAACACGCAAAAAAAATTTAAAAACTCTACCGAAATTAAAATCTACAAAGATGGCATGTAGCATACGATAAGAAGCTTGCTTTGGGATTTTCTTTCATTCTCAGTAATTTCTTTCCTTTCAGTCCGAGCTGATGTTAACCAAACACAATTTTTAGATACTTACCATCAATACATACATAGATAGGAAATGCCCCAAAGCCCCCAAGGCACACATTAAATGAGCTAATTAAGAAAAACTTCAATGTATAAATCAATTTTCTGTAGAGGTTTTTTTTTTTTTTTAAGTTGCACTTGCAGAAATCTGTCGTTATTTCTTACAAACTGTTTCATACAAAAAGGATGTTGTCAAAAAAACACTTCAATGCCTAGATGAAGTCAAAAAATGGAAGATATTGTTAGTCTCATTGCCGCAGCTGATCTTCTTAAACCATATTTTCCGATTCTGCTCGGAAAAGGTTTTTTTTTTAATTATTTTTTCTCTACATGACTTACATCACGTTGGAATAACGGGGAAATTTTTAAATGTTTACAAAACAAAATATTCCGCGTTCTCCTTGCCGATCAGCTAGGAAAAAAAAAAAAAACAAAATAAAACACTGTTTGACAGTGTTGTTGGAATTACCTAAGTCGTTTTTGGGTCAGTATGAGGAATGACTATTATGCATTAT